GAACACAACGTCCTTCTGTTCCAGGTTTTATTCTCACCTCCACGTTGACGTTCCTGATCTGCAGGTTGACCAGAGAGAACTCCTGCTGTAAAGTCTGAGGGACGCCTGAACCCACCGCGGAGATCAGAGCGCCGTCCTGATCTGAGACGCAACAACAGCATTTATTTCATTTACCCTGATGATTTCTGATGATTTCTGATGATTTCTGATGATTTCTGATTGATTTCTGTTGATTTCTGATGATTTCTGTTGGTTTCTGATGATTTCTGATGATTTCTGTTGGTTTCTGATGATTTCTGATGATTTCTGTTGGTTTCTGTAGATTCTCATTCATTTCTGTGGGTTTTCTGTTGATTTCTTTAGATTTTATGTTGAATTCAGTTGATATTTTGATGATTTCTGTTGTTTTTGTTTGTTTCTGTTCTGCTGATTTACATCATTTTCTGTTTTGTTAAATTCTTTAGATCAGTGGTTCTCAACTGGTTAGGCCTCGGGACCCACTTTTTACTTGGTCAATACATCGCGACCCAACATTTTGAAGCACTCAAATCTATTCAACAAAAAATCGTGCTGTAATATACGCTTTTCAGAATACAATATTAAAAGTGAAGTACAGTACATATATCCCTTCACAGAACTAAAGTATGCTTTTAAAAAAGGTTCAATGAGATGATGGAATCAAAGCTGAACTATATAAAAAGGCACACATGCTGAAAACCCAACCCCAGCAGGGGGGTCTGGGGGGATCTCCCCCAGGAGATTTTTAGAAATACTAACATAAACTACGCATTCTGGTACTCTCTGAGAAGAAAATAAATAAATCTATTACTACCCGACATATTAATAATATTTTATGCCATTGTTTGTTTTTCACTTAGTTCTGACAGCTTGCTGAGAGAAGAGCAAAGAGGAGATAGTCTGTGTGACTTACTTTAAATTGTGGGTAAGGGTTCTGTGAGCTGTCAATCATCAAACCGGGGGTCATATTTCATTATGTGTTCATTTTTATCTGAAGTTGTACCCATGGATGTATAAAGAATAGTTCTACCGCAAAGTTATTCTCCGTGGGGACTTCCGGCAACAATCTTGATTCTGATTGGCCAGAAGACTCGAAAAAACATCAGCAGAGATGTTTTATTGAGAAGATGATCACTACGTAACAGAAGTTTTCAAAAACATTTATGGTCTCCGGTACTTCCAGTCCAACGCCTACTGCATGCACAGCATTAGAAATCGGTCCTTCAAAATAAAAGTTTGCATTTTTTCCCAAAAAAAAAAAAATATTCCAATTTTTTTTTTCAACTTTTTTTTCTTCACTCACACATCCGCGACCCACTTGAAACGGGTCCGCGACCCACTTTTGGGTCGCGACCCACCAGTTGAGAACCACTGCTTTAGATCATTATGCAGATTTGATTTCTATTGATTTTCTGTTCATATTGTGTGAATTCCACTGATTTCTTTAGATTTTCTGTGATTTCTTTGCAAGTTTAACGTGATTTCTGCAGATTTCAGTTCATCTTTGTAGATTTCTGTTTTAGGTTTTTTTATTTCTCTTGATTCTCTGATTTATTTAGATTTTAAGCAGATTTTCTGTTGATTACTATTGATTTTGTTTTATTGATTCTGTTGATTCTTATTGGTGATGTTTATCTGTGGGTTTTCTTGTCTGCTGATTTCTGTAGCTCTTCTCATCATTTTCTGTTGTGTTGAATTCTTTAGTTTTTTTTGCAGATTTCATGTTGATTTCTAAAGATTTTCTGTTAATATTTGTGTGTGATTTCTGCTGATTTCTTTGCAAGTTTAAGTTGATTGATGTGATTTCTGCAGATTTCAGTTCATCTTCGTAGATTTCTGTTTTCGTTTTTTTTATTTCTGTTGATTCTTGTCAATTTCTGTGGGTTCTCTGATGATTTCTTTCGATTTTTAGCAGATTTTAAGTTGATTTCTTTTGATTTTATGTTAATAATTTGAGTGATTTTCTGTAGATTTCAGTTGATATTTTGATGATTTCTGTTTTTTTTTTTAAATATTATTTTTTTGTTTGTTTTTGTTGATTTATTTTTAGCAGATTTTAAGTTGATTTCTATGGATTTGAATATGTTAATATTTTGTATGATTTGATGTAGATTTCAGTTGTTTTTTTGTTTGTTTCTGTTGATTATGATTCATTTCTGTGGGTTTTCTTTTCTGCTGATTTCTGTAGATTTTCTCATCATTTTCTGTTGTGTTGAATTCTTTAGATCTTTTTGCAGATTCTCTGTTGATTTCTATGGATTTTCTGATGAAATGTTTCTCACCCGTCAGGTTATCTGCAGCGAGGCCGACGCTGTACTGACTGTCCGGCTCCTGAGAGGAAAGAGACTTCTCCGACTCCACGGTGAGAGACATCCCCTCCATCAGCTCCTCCCCCACGTCACTGACACACAGCTACACACACACACACACACACACACACACACGAACACACACACACACACACACACACACACACACACACACACACACACACACACACACACACACACACACACACACACACACACACACACACACACACACACACACACACACACACACACACACACACACACACACACACACACACACACACACACACACACACACACACACACACACACACACACACACACACACACACACACACACACACACACACACACACACACGTTTAATGTATTTAGTGGAACAAAAGTATAATGTTAATAATTAAATGAGAGGCTGACCTTCTGCAGCTGAGGGTCGACCCTCCAGATCCTCAGAGTCTGATCTCTGGACCAGGTCACCAGCTGGTAGTCCTTCGAGCCTGCAGAGTAAACAAACACATAAACAACAACAACAAGAAAACGCTGTAAACAAGAAGAAAACACATAAATCATGCGACACAAAGGGTCAGTGAACGCAACACAGAGAGCCTGTCAAGAATCATAGAGACAGTGAACACATCATAGGGTCAGTGAACGCAACACAGAGAAACAGTGAGCACATCAAAGGGTCAGTGAACGCAACACAGAGACAGTGAGCACATCAAAGGGTCAGTGAACGCAACACAGAGACAGTGAACACATCAAAGGGTCAGTGAACGCAACACAGAGAGACAGTGAGCACATCAACGTGTAAGTGAACACAACGGGAGGTCAGGTACTCTTTAAAACAGCTGCTAGTTATGGGTACTTTTTACTGAAGTACATTTCAAAGCCCTCTTTACTTTGACTTGAGTAAAGAAGTTTAGTCAGTACTTCTACTTTCACCAGAGTATTTTTAAACACGAGTATCTGTACTTCTACTTGAGTAAAGGATGTGTGTACTTTTACCATCACTGTGCAGGTGTGTGTGTATGTGTGTGTGTGTGTGTGTATGTGTGTGTGTGTGTGTGTGTGTGTGTGTGTGTGTGTGTGTGTGTGTGTGTGTGTGTGTGTGTGTCCTGCCTTCTTTCTGCGGCCTCCACTGGAACTCCAGCACCACGTCGTCGTGTCCCACGAAGGCGTGGACCGGGCTGTTGAGGTCGAGCGACGACCAGAGCAGCAAACTGTTCTCTCTCCTCAGCTGAGGAACCATCACTGTGACCAGACCGTTAGAGAAGGGCTACACACACACACACACACACACACACACACACACACACACACACACACACACACACACACACACACACACACACACACACACACACACACACACACACACACACACACACACACACACACACACACACACACACACACACACACACACACACACACACACACACACACACACACACACACACAATTGTAAGGAAAGAAAACTACTTGCACTGTACATTTTTAAAAGTAAAGTTTTGAGTTTGTGTGGAAAGAAACACGGCAGAAATCATCATAAAATCATGATCTTAAAAAGGCATTAAGATTCCTTCAGAGTTGAAACTCACCGTGTACCGAGCTTTCCACACAGGCACTTGGCAGGAGAGGATGTTCAGGTACTTCCTGGGCTGTCGGTAATCCCAGAACTGAACTCAAAACAAAGAGAAAAATTGTTTCTGACTGAGACACGGCACCTTTGATCAGAGCAAGACATTGAACGCATCACAGAAAGTTAGCTGTTGCATCGCAGAAAGCAACATAGAGAGTCAGTGAACGCACCATAGAAATGAGTCAGTGAACGCATCGCAGAGTCAGTGAATGCACCAAAGAGAGTCAGTGAACGCATCATAGCTTCAGTTAACGTATCATTGAGTCACTGAACGCATCATATTGACAATGAATACATCAAAGTTAGTAGATGAATCACAAAGTCATTAAACGTATTGAAGAGAGTCAGTGAACGCATCACAGGGTCAGTGAACGCATCACAGAGTCAGTGAACGCATCACAGAGTCAGTGAACGCATCACAGGGTCAGTGAACGCATCACAGGGTCAGTGAACGCATCACAGAGTCAGTGAACGCACCACAGAGTCAGTGAACGCATCACAGAGTCAGTGAACCCATCACAGAGTCAGTGAACGCACCACAGAGTCAGTGAACGCACCACGGTCAGTGGACGCACCACAGAGAGTCAGTGAACGCACCACGGTCAGTGAACGCATCACAGAGAGTCAGTGAACGCATCACAGAGAGTCAGTGAACGCATCGCAGAGTCAGTGAACGCACCGCAGAGTCAGTGAACGCCTCGCAGAGTCAGTGAACGCCTCGCAGAGTCAGTGAACGCATCGCAGAGTCAGTGAACGCCTCGCAGGGTCAGTGAACGCCTCGCAGGGTCAGTGAACGCATCGCAGGGTCAGTGAACGCCTCGCAGGGTCAGTGAACGTCTCGCAGGGTCAGTGAACGCATCGCAGGGTCAGTGAACGCATCGCAGGGTCAGTGAACGCCTCGCAGGGTCAGTGAACGCCTCGCAGGGTCAGTGAACGCATCGCAGGGTCAGTGAACGCATCGCAGGGTCAGTGAACGCCTCGCAGGGTCAGTGAACGCCTCGCAGGGTCAGTGAACGCCTCACAGGGTCAGTGAACGCCTCACAGGGTCAGTGAACGCCTCACAGGGTCAGTGAACGCCTCACAGGGTCAGTGAACGCCTCACAGGGTCAGTGAACGCCTCACAGGGTCAGTGAACGCCTCACAGGGTCAGTGAACGCATCACAGGGTCAGTGAACGCATCACAGAGTCAGTGAACGCATCACAGAGTCAGTGAACGCATTCAGTCCGGCAGTGGCTCAGTCAGTAGGGGCTTGGACTGGGAGCCGTAGGGTCGCTGGTTCAAGTCCCCGACCAGACCTAAATATGGAGTGTGGACTTCTACTTGGAGAGGTCCCAGTTCACCTCCTGCCCTGCCGTGGTGCCCTTGAGCAAGGCACCGGACACCCCCCTTCCCCCCCACTCCCATTGCTCCCCGGGCGCTGTACAATAGCTGCCCACTGCTCCTAGTACTAGACTCCTGGTACTAGGATGGGTTAAAAGCAGAGGCCAAATTTCACTGTGTGTGCTGTGTGCTCTGCATGTGTGACCATTAAAGAGGGTTTCATCCCTCCCTATTCTATTCTATTCAGAGTCAGTGAACGCCTCACAGAGTCAGTGAACGCCCCGTCTCTCTGATGTAAACAGTGTTACAGACTCCTCCCTCGGGGTGCGCTGGTTTTCCTCACCCTCACGGAGTTGTCCTGGCTCGACGTGGCGAACACGAACTCGTTGTCGGGATGCCAGTCGAGGCCGTGGATCTTTGAGAGGTGAGCCGCCACGTACTCTACTGCCGTGCTGGGCTTCTGAAACACACACACACACACACACACACACACACACACACACACACACACACACACACACACACACACACACACACACACACACACACACACACACACACACACACACACACACACACACACACACACACACACACACACACACACACACACACACACACACACACACACACACACACACACACACACACACACACACACACACACAATCCCAAATTCAAATAGTAAAATTACAAAAAGAAACACCTTGATATTGTCTGAGATTAAAGTTTGTGTGTGTGTGTGTCTCTCTCTCTGTGTGTGTGTGTGTCTATATCTGTGTGTGTGTGTGTGTGTGTGTGTGTGTGTGTGTGTGTGTGTGAGTGTGTGTGTGTGTGTGAGTGTGTGTGTGTGTGTGTGTGTGTGTGTGTGAGTGTGTGTGTGTGTGTGAGTGTGTGTGTGTGTGTGAGTGTGTGTGTGTGTGTGGTGTGAGTGTGTGTGTGTGTGTGTGAGTGTGTGTGTGTGTGTGTGTGTGAGTGTGTGTGTGTGTGTGTGTGTGTGTGAGTGTGTGTGTGAGTGTGTGTGAGTCTCACTCTTCTATCCCAGATCCGAACGTCTCCATCGTGACTCGACCCCAGCAGGTTCTGGTTCTTCTTGTTCCATTTCACCTGAGACGCCCCCGCTGCAGAAACAGACAGTAAAGAGTGAGTTTTGTGCAGACGAGGTTGAAAATGAATGATTGGGAAATGAATGCTTTGTAGGAGTTAATAGAAACACTGATCATTTTGCATATTTTAACTATTATTTCAGATCAAATAAAGAGAAAACAACAACAACAACAACAACAACAGGACAGATATATAATTTAATGAACTTCAAATGAAACTCACCGACAGCTGACAGCGCCACCGTGGGTTTCCTCGTGTCTCTGCAGAGTTACAATACAAGGGAATACAAATCTCTCTTTCATTCAAATATATTATATATTTATAAATAGATCAGATGGAACTTTATTGATCGCCTTTGGGCGTTTATAGCAGCAACAGGTCAGAGTTCAAATCAGGATACACACACAAATAAAGATAAAATGTAAATAATAATACAAGTGATAAATATAATATATATATATTATCATATATATATATATATATATATATATATATATATATATAGTATTGAGTGAGTTTCCCACCTGGTGTCCCAGATGTAGATGTACGTGTCGACTGAACTGGTGACGAGAAGCTCCGGTTCAAACCAGGACCAGTCCAGATCACTGAGGACATGAACGCACCACGGTCAGTGAACGCACCACGGTCAGTGAACGCACCACAGAGGGTCAGTGAATGCAACACAGAGAGTCAGAGAGTCAGTGAACGCATCACAGAGAGTCAGTGAACGGACCACGATCAGTGAACGCACCACAGAGAGTCAGTGAAGAGTCAGTGAACGCACCACAGAGAGTCACTGAACGCACCACACAGAGTCAGTGAACGCACCACACAGAGTCAGTGAACGCACCACGGTCAGTGAATGCATCACAGAGAGTCAGTGAACGCATCACAGAGAGTCAGTGAACGCACCACACAGAGTCAGTGAACGCACCACGGAGAGTCAGTGAAGAGTCAGTGAACGCACCACAGAGAGTCAGTGAAGAGTCAGTGAACGCATCACAGAGTCAGTGAACGCACCACACAGAGTCAGTGAACGCACCACACAGAGTCAGTGAACGCACCACAGAGAGTCAGTGAACGCACCACAGAGTCAGTGAACGCACCACACAGAGTCAGTGAACGCACCACACAGAGTCAGTGAACGCACCACACAGAGTCAGTGAACGCACCACGGTCAGTGAATGCACCAGAGAGTCAGTGAACGCACCACAGAGAGTCAGTGAACGCACCACAGAGAGTCAGTGAAGAGTCAGTGAACGCACCACACAGAGTCAGTGAACGCACCACAGAGAGTCAGTGAACGCACCACAGAGAGTCAGTGAACGCACCACACAGAGTCAGTGAACGCACCACACAGAGTCAGTGAACGCACCACAGAGTCAGTGAACGCACCACACAGAGTCAGTGAACGCACCACAGAGAGTCAGTGAACGCACCACAGAGAGTCAGTGAACGCACCACAGAGAGTCAGTGAACGCACCACAGAGAGTCAGTGAACGCACCACAGAGAGTCAGTGAAGAGTCAGTGAACGCACCACAGAGTCAGTGAACGCACCACACAGAGTCAGTGAACGCACCACACAGAGTCAGTGAACGCACCACACAGAGTCAGTGAACGCACCACACAGAGTCAGTGAACGCACCACAGAGTCAGTGAACGCACCACAGAGAGTCAGTGAACGCACCACAGAGAGTCAGTGAACGCACCACAGAGAGTCAGTGAAGAGTCAGTGAATGCACCACAGAGAGTCAGTGAAGAGTCAGTGAACGCATCACAGAGAGTCAGTGAAGAGTCAGTGAACGCATCACAGAGTCAGTGAACGCACCACACAGAGTCAGTGAACGCACCACACAGAGTCAGTGAACGCACCACAGAGAGTCAGTGAACGCACCACAGAGTCAGTGAACGCACCACAGAGAGTCAGTGAACGCACCACACAGAGTCAGTGAACGCACCACACAGAGTCAGTGAACGCACCACGGTCAGTGAATGCACCACAGAGAGTCAGTGAACGCACCACAGAGAGTCAGTGAACGCACCACAGAGAGTCAGTGAACGCACCACAGAGAGTCAGTGAAGAGTCAGTGAACGCACCACACAGAGTCAGTGAACGCACCACAGAGAGTCAGTGAACGCACCACAGAGAGTCAGTGAACGCACCACACAGAGTCAGTGAACGCACCACAGAGTCAGTGAACGCACCACACAGAGTCAGTGAACGCACCACAGAGAGTCAGTGAACGCACCACAGAGAGTCAGTGAACGCACCACAGAGAGTCAGTGAACGCACCACAGAGAGTCAGTGAACGCACCACAGAGAGTCAGTGAACGCACCACAGAGTCAGTGAACGCACCACAGAGTCAGTGAACGCACCACACAGAGTCAGTGAACGCACCACACAGAGTCAGTGAACGCACCACAGAGTCAGTGAACGCACCACACAGAGTCAGTGAACGCACCACACAGAGTCAGTGAACGCACCACACAGAGTCAGTGAACGCACCACAGAGAGTCAGTGAACGCATCACAGAGAGTCAGAGAAGAGTCAGTGAACGCACCACACAGAGTCAGTGAACGCACCACACAGAGTCAGTGAACGCACCACAGAGTCAGTGAACGCACCACACAGAGTCAGTGAACGCACCACACAGAGTCAGTGAACGCACCACAGAGTCAGTGAACGCACCACACAGAGTCAGTGAACGCACCACAGAGAGTCAGTGAACGCACCACACAGAGTCAGTGAACGCACCACAGAGTCAGTGAACGCACCACAGAGAGTCAGTGAACGCACCACAGAGAGTCAGTGAACGCACCACAGAGTCAGTGAACGCATCACAGAGAGTCAGTGAACGCATCACAGAGTCAGTGAACGCATCACAGAGTCAATGAACGCATCACAGAGTCAGTGAACGCATCACAGAGTCAGTGAACGCCTCACAGAGTCAGTGAACGCATCACAGAGTCAGTGAACGCATCACAGAGTCAGTGAACGCATCACAGAGTCAGTGAACGCATCACAGAGTCAGTGAACGCATCACAGAGTCAGTGAACGCACCACAGAGTCAGTGAACGCATCACAGAGAGTCAGTGAACGCACCACAGAGTCAGTGAACGCACCACAGAGAGTCAGTGAACGCACCACAGAGTCAGTGAACGCACCACAGAGTCAGTGAACGCACCACACAGAGTCAGTGAACGCACCACACAGAGTCAGTGAACGCACCACAGAGTCAGTGAACGCACCACACAGAGTCAGTGAACGCACCACACAGAGTCAGTGAACGCACCACACAGAGTCAGTGAACGCACCACAGAGAGTCAGTGAACGCATCACAGAGAGTCAGAGAAGAGTCAGTGAACGCACCACAGAGTCAGTGAACGCACCACACAGAGTCAGTGAACGCACCACACAGAGTCAGTGAACGCACCACAGAGTCAGTGAACGCACCACACAGAGTCAGTGAACGCACCACACAGAGTCAGTGAACGCACCACAGAGTCAGTGAACGCACCACACAGAGTCAGTGAACGCACCACAGAGAGTCAGTGAACGCACCACACAGAGTCAGTGAACGCACCACAGAGTCAGTGAACGCACCACAGAGAGTCAGTGAACGCACCACAGAGAGTCAGTGAACGCACCACAGAGTCAGTGAACGCATCACAGAGAGTCAGTGAACGCATCACAGAGTCAGTGAACGCATCACAGAGTCAATGAACGCATCACAGAGTCAGTGAACGCATCACAGAGTCAGTGAACGCCTCACAGAGTCAGTGAACGCATCACAGAGTCAGTGAACGCATCACAGAGTCAGTGAACGCATCACAGAGTCAGTGAACGCATCACAGAGTCAGTGAACGCATCACAGAGTCAGTGAACGCACCACAGAGTCAGTGAACGCACCACACAGAGTCAGTGAACGCATCACAGAGTCAGTGAACGCATCACAGAGTCAGTGAACGCACCACACAGAGTCAGTGAACGCACCACGGTCAGTGAATGCACCACAGAGAGTCAGTGAACGCACCACAGAGAGTCAGTGAACGCACCACAGAGAGTCAGTGAACGCACCACAGAGAGTCAGTGAACGCACCACAGAGAGTCAGTGAACGCACCACAGAGAGTCAGTGAACGCATCACAGAGAGTCAGAGAAGAGTCAGTGAACGCACCACACAGTCAGTGAACGCACCACACAGAGTCAGTGAACGCACCACACAGAGTCAGTGAACGCACCACAGAGAGTCAGTGAAGAGTCAGTGAACGCACCACAGAGAGTTAGTGAACGCACCACACAGAGTCAGTGAACGCACCACACAGAGTCAGTGAACGCACCACACAGAGTCAGTGAACGCACCACAGAGAGTCAGTGAAGAGTCAGTGAACGCACCACACAGAGTCAGTGAACGCACCACACAGAGTCAGTGAACGCACCACAGAGAGTCAGAGAAGAGTCAGTGAACGCACCACAGAGAGTCAGTGAACGCACCACAGAGAGTCAGAGAAGAGTCAGTGAACGCACCACACAGAGTCAGTGAACGCACCACACAGAGTCAGTGAACGCACCACACAGAGTCAGTGAACGCACCACAGAGTCAGTGAACGCACCACAGAGAGTCAGTGAACGCACCACAGAGAGTCAGTGAACGCACCACAGAGAGTCAGTGAACGCACCACAGAGTCAGTGAACGCATCACAGAGAGTCAGTGAACGCACCACAGAGAGTCAGTGAACGCACCACAGAGAGTCAGTGAACGCACCACACAGAGTCAGTGAACGCACCACAGAGTCAGTGAACGCATCACAGAGTCAGTGAACGCATCACAGAGTCAGTGAACGCATCACAGAGTCAGTGAACGCATCACAGAGTCAGTGAACGCATCACAGAGTCAGTGAACGCACCACAGAGTCAGTGAACGCCTCACAGAGTCAGTGAACGCATCACAGAGTCAGTGAACGCCTCACAGAGTCAGTGAACGCATCACAGAGTCAGTGAACGCACCACAGAGTCAGTGAACGCATCACAGAGTCAGTGAACGCATCACAGAGAGTCAGTGAACGCACCACAGAGAGTCAGTGAACGCATCACAGAGAGTCAGTGAACGCACCACAGAGAGTCAGTGAACGCACCACACAGAGTCAGTGAACGCACCACAGAGAGTCAGTGAACGCACCACACAGAGTCAGTGAACGCACCACAGAGAGTCAGTGAACGCACCACACAGAGTCAGTGAACGCACCACAGAGAGTCAGTGAACCTGGCAATAAAATCTCTAATTCTTGCGATGTGTTGTTCCCTACAGGAAGGAGCGTTTGTTTGCGTTACCTGATGACCCGGGTGTGGCCCTGCAGGGAGGAGTGAATCTCTCCACAGCCGTCCTTCCACGAGTACAGATCCACGCGCTGGTTACTCTGAAAAACACACAGAAACACTTGTTAGGTTGAGCATCAGATCCCTCAGTGTTTCCTCTTGATGGAGATCAGCAGAACTCACGGAGGCGGCGAAGACGTGCGCCTCGTCTCGATGAGGTTTCCACTGAACCGTCCCCACGTCCCACTTACTCTGACGCCCGATCTTCCTCGGCTGCTCGGACGGAGCCTCCAGGTTCACCATGTACAGGAAGCGCCGCCTGAGAGGCGTTCAGGGACACATTACAGACGCTTTAGACTTTAGAGCAAACTGAGACATGATGTTTAATCTGAGACGCGTTCAGGGACACATTACAGACGCTTTAGACTTCAGAGCAAACTGAGACATGATGTTTAATCTGAGACGCGTTCAGGGACACATTACAGACGCTTTAGATCAAACTGAGATATGATTTTATATCTGTGGTGCGTTCAGGTGCATGAAACTTACCCGGAAAGTACAGCGTGAGAACCCAGGCAGTCCACTGACATAGCGGTGGCCTGAAAACACAAGAAGAAGACAAATCTTAATTTGAACATAATTACATGCGTCAGATTATTGTTTAATGTTTTAATTAGAGAAGTTAAAGTAGGAATGGGGTGAAAATAAAATACTTCATTACTTAATTAAACGTAGTTTTGCAAACAACCTAATAATAACTACAGTGTTTGAAAAAGTCACTCCAAATTAAATGAATCATCTGTTTGTCATTTCTGGTGTCATTTCCTGGTTGCTAACAAACGCCATTGTAACACATAATCACTGATGTTCAGCTGTAACGGTGGTGGACTCATCAGAACAGAGCGGGCGAGCTAACCAATCAGAGCACAGTGGGCTCACAGGGAGGGGGGGGGCAGGAGCTCCAACAAGCCGTTTAGGACAGAGAGTGAATACACATGCTATACAGAGATGCTGTATGAGAAACCAATGAGAGTTTGGAACATTGAACTATTTCTATTTCAGAAATAATTTGGATTGTTGGAGTGTTTTGTTTTTTATGCTGCTGCAACGCAAAAATAATTCACAAATTGGGATCAATTAAGTACTTATCTATCCATCTATTTATCTATCCATCTATTTATCTATCTATCTATCTAAAAACTGTAATTAAGTGTTAATGAACATTGAAATTGACGCAAAACTCAAATGAAAGTGTGTTTAATGTAAAGTATTCAGGGAGTAAACTGAGAGGATGTAAAGTAGTTCTCCTTGTGCTGCTCTTTCGGTATCTTTAGTTTAATAAGGTAGCTTTAATACCTGAGCATCTCGAAACTCCACCACCACATTCTCGCTGCTCCAGCGCGCGGCCATCTTTCAGTCTTCTACCGTCAACAGAGCGTCATGTGATTCTAATGTCACGTGACGCCGCGTTCACCGTCCCTGGGAGAGAAGATCATGGTCATGAGAATTTTAGGAAAAAAAGATGATTCTGTTAACAAATAAAATAATAATAATAATGATAATAATTTAAAAAAATAACAATAACAATAATAATAATATTAATAATAATAATAATGGAAATATTTATTGAATGAAAAATGTATTAATCATTGTAATGGTTATTTATAATAATTATTGATATGTTTAACTTATTCACTTTATTTGTATTTAATTATGTTTTCTAATATTTTAAGTTTAATTTTATATTGATCAGAATAAGAAGTATTACGTTTATATCACCGGAGAATCATTATTTCCTTTCTAAATATTGTTTCTCCGAGTGTTCCTAAGTGCCTGAACGCATCAAATTTCCTCTCTTCTGATTGGTCGGCCCAGTTCGGTGTCACAGATCCAAGATGGCGCCTACCTTGGTTGCGCATGTTGTCGCAGACGCAGGAGCTTTTCTGAAGAAAGCTCCTCTCCAGGTGAGAAGATACTTCATATTAATATATAAATTGCACCTGTATAAAGAGAGCAGACCCCCGGTGGGGAGGGGGGAGAAACGGGAGGAGAGGAGGCCCTTCTGAGGCCGGAGAGAGAGAGATACAGGCCGCAGAGCGAGAAGAGGCGTGGGGGAAACAGAACAGAATAAACACTAAAACAGACTTTATTTTAATATATTTCTCTTTGTAAACAAGATTTATTGTTGTTTACAAGTCTGTAAGTCAATCAGTCAACATGCGTGTTTACATACATGACGTCACAACAACAGAGAGGTCTAAATCCTCATCATTAAAAATAGTTTCATTTATTTATTTTATTACTATGTTTAACTTTATACCGGATTTATAATATTGACAAGAAGAAAAATATTTTATTTAACAAAATCCGTGTTTACATACATGACGTCACAACAACAGAGAGCTGTACATCTTCATCATTTAAAAGAGTTAATTAATGAACTAGTATTACTTATAATAATGAAACATTTATTTTTACCAAAACACAAACAGAGATTTTACATTTAATTAAGTTGTGAAAATACTTAAAGGTCCCATGTCATGCTTTTCCGGTTATTACCCGTCCCCTTGTGTGTTATGAAGGTTTTTCTGCATGTAAACGGTGTGCAGAGTCACAAACCCTCAAAGTACACCCTGTAGCGAGTAAACCTCTAACACAGAACAGACCTGTCTATGCTGCCCCTGAACGCCTCGTTGGAAATTTCTCTTTTTCCATTTTTTTCTTCCTGGTCACCGAGACGTAACGACGACCCAAATGGACCAATCCGCGGACCCGTTACGTTACGTCAGCGGAGCCGTAACGTTAAGTCCGCGGATTGGTCAGCCAGGCTGCAGGTGTGTGTGTGTGTGTGCTCGGGCTGGGTTTAGCTGTGTCTCGCTGTCTCGCAGCAACCAGGAAACCACACCAGTAACCCAGCTCACACTGTCCGCTCCTCGAGCCTCAAAGGGCGGAGCAGCGAGCCGCGCAACGTCCCCCCAACACGGCATCCAGACCCCACGCAGCATTCTCATCTGTTTGTCATTTCTGGGCTCATAGGGAGGGGGGGGAGGAGCTCCAACAAGCCGTTTAGGACAGAGAGTGAATACACATACTATACAGAGATGCTGTATGAGAAACCAATGTGAGTTTGGAACATTGAACAATGTAAATCTATTCTAGTAGACCTCAACAATGGAATTATGATCAGTAGAAATGACCATGACATGGGACCTTTAAGTGACATGAAGAATTGTTGCTGATGAATCTGCATCGTGAGCATTTTATTGAGGAACAGGAGGATGATTTATTTTATTATTATTAACTATTAACAGGGTTTATTATTATTTACAAGTCTGTAATCAATCAGTCAACATCTGTGTTTACTTCCATGACGTCACAACAACAGAGAGCTCTAAATCCTCATCATAAAAGTGTATTTATTTTTAAATTGTTAAGTTTTGTATTCTTTTTATATGTATAAACATGTGCCATTTCTTTCTTTTAACACCCCCATTCATATTTTAAAGGGGACCTATCATGCAAAATGCACTTTTGTACGTCTTTTCTCCATGAATATGTGTCCCCGGTGTTCCAGGGAACTCACCAAGTGTCAGAAAACACAACCCTCTCTATTTTCCTCCATACCCAAATCTCTAAAAAAGGGGCTGCAACGGATCTGATAAAAACTGATCCAGATTTGAACACTTCTATGTCGTCACAGAAGTGGCGCTACGGCTATTGGGCCAACTCTCCACCTATCAGGGGAATGTGGGGTTGGGCCACGGCCGGCCATTGCTGCTCGAAAGCGCTGGAGACGCTGTAGTACATATGCCAGGCCTGTAAGTGGCGCTGTAGTCTGCCACAAAAGCAGCGAAGAAGACTTCCCGCCCATAGTTACCATGGTTACCCTTCTGTTTATTCTCCGCTGTGGCTTTTTTTCTCCCTCCCCGAGGCAAGCGTTTGCTCCCGCTGCTTTAATTCAATGCAATCCCTCCCCGTCGAGGCAAGCACTGTAATTCTCTCCGGTTAGTCCACCAGCAGATGACAAACACCCACCTCTCCGCCTCTTCCAAGGAACGAGGGGACCGTGCGGCAGAGTTTCAGTTTCTTTCGCCGGTCAAGATGTCCGTTAAAGTTTAAATCTTCCGGACAAAATTAGAAAAGTGCCGGTCAAAGGTCTTCTTTGTTATTTATTGAGCTTTAAAACAAATGAATAACGACTCTATATAATAAAACACGGAGGACGGAGATCTCTTTTTCTCCCCCTCTTCTGACAGCCCAGCAGCTGATCAGAGCACGTCTCCCCTCTCCTGCAGGGGGGCGTGGTCAGCAGAATCAGACCCGTAGACAGCAAACAGCACATAGAGCGAAATGAGGCATGGCTAAAATGCATGATCTGTTTGGTATTTTGAAAACAGAAACGTATAAATATACCTTATATAGGTATGGCCCTACAATATATCATTTAAATATAGCATGATAGGTCCACTTTAAATAAATGGTATTTTAGGTTGTAATTGTTATTGTGCCTTTGTCTGTAAATAATATGCTGAACAAATTCAATTAAAGGGAATTAGAAAAGTCTGTCAGGTCTTTATTTTATTTTATCTTTCCTTTTTAAATTATTTATTGTTTTGTTCTGCAGGAGATCGGCAGCACGATCTACACCCTGAAGGACGTGGTGGACGAGATCAGAGACAAACCCACGAGGAGGAGTTTAGCTTTCCTGCCGTACCACCTGACCTTCAGAGAGCCGTACCCCGAACACATCAGACACGGTAACAAACTGACCCTGAACACACCAAACACTGTCCCTGAACACATCAGACACGGTAAACACAGCGTCCCTGAACACATCACACACCGTCCCTGAACACATCAGACACGGTAACAAACTGACCCTGAACACACCACACTGTGACCCTGAACAGACCACACACTGACCCTGAACACATCAGACAAGTTAACAAACTGACCCTGAACACACCACACACTGTCCCCGAACACATTAGACACTGTAAACACAGCGTCCCTGAACACATCACACACCGTCCCTGAACACATCACACACCGTCCCTGAACACATCAGACACGGTAACAAACTGACCCTGAACACACCACACTGTGACCCTGAACAGACCACACACTGACCCTGAACACATCAGACAAGTTAACAAACTGACCCTGAACACACCACACACTGTCCCCGAACACATCAGACACGGTAAACACAGCGTCCCTGAACACATCACACACCGTCCCTGAACATATCAGACATGGTAACAAACTGACCCTGAACACATCAGACACCATCCCTGAACACATCAGACACGGTAACAAACTGACCCTGAACACACCACACTGTGACCCTGAACAGACCACACACTGACCCTGAACACATCAGACAAGTTAACAAACTGACCCTGAACACACCACACACTGTCCCCGAACACATCAGACACGGTAACAAACTGACCCTGAACACACCACACTGTGACCCTGAACAGACCACACACTGACCCTGAACACATCAGACAATTTAACAAACTGACCCTGAACACACCAAACACTGTCCCTGAACACATCAGACACGGTAAACACAGCGTCCCTGAACACATCACACACCGTCCCTGAACACATCAGACACGGTAACAAACTGACCCTGAACACACCACACTGTGACCCTGAACAGACCACACACTGACCCTGAACACATCAGACAAGTTAACAAACTGACCCTGAACACACCACACACTGTCCCCGAACACATTAGACACTGTAAACACAGCGTCCCTGAACACATCACACACCGTCCCTGAACACATCACACACCGTCCCTGAACACATCAGACACGGTAACAAACTGACCCTGAACACACCACACTGTGACCCTGAACAGACCACACACTGACCCTGAACACATCAGACAAGTTAACAAACTGACCCTGAACACACCACACACTGTCCCCGAACACATCAGACACGGTAAACACAGCGTCCCTGAACACATCACACACCGTCCCTGAACATATCAGACATGGTAACAAACTGACCCTGAACACATCAGACACCATCCCTGAACACATCAGACACGGTAACAAACTGACCCTGAACACACCACACTGTGACCCTGAACAGACCACACACTGACCCTGAACACATCAGACAAGTTAACAAACTGACCCTGAACACACCACACACTGTCCCCGAACACATCAGACACGGTAACAAACTGACCCTGAACACACCACACTGTGACCCTGAACAGACCACACACTGACCCTGAACACATCAGACAAGTTAACAAACTGACCCTGAACACACCACACTGTGACCCTGAACACATCAGACACGGTAACAAACTGACCCTGAACACACCACACACTGACCCTGAACACATCAGATTAGCATGCATTAGCATCATTGATTAGCTGTATTGGTGTTTCATTGATTAGCTGTATTGGTGTTTCATTGATTAGCTGTATTGGTGTTTCAGTGACGGAGTTCTCCAAGAAGACGGGAGACTACCCGAGTCTGTCAGCGACCGACATCAAAGTCCTGGCTCTGACCTACCAGCTGGAGCTGGAGCACGTGGGATCCAAGCACCTGAAGAAAGAGCCAGAAGTCAAGGTGCACAATATTTTTTACAACAATGTTTTACAAATGTCCCAAAAAAATGCAGAATTGTTTTCATGTTTTCTGACCTTGAAAAGTGCAAAGAAAACAAGTTTCTATAAATATTTTAACGGCACAATACTAATGTTTAACTTTCATAAAAAGGTGATGGGATAAGCTGAGTAACGGCCGCAGATTTAGAGTATTTTGTTGCAGAAAATCGGAATTTAGAAATATTGGGGGATAAGTCCGAATTTTGAGATAAGAAAAAAAAAACGAAGAATTTTGAGGAAAATGTCGTTTTTATTAAATGTTGAGAACATTTTTAATTTGTTGGACTAAGCTGTAGTCCTTCAGACCTGTGTAGCTGAATGTGTGTCTTCTGGCTCCAGGTGAACGTCCACAGCACTCAGCGCCACCCGGAGACTCCGGTCAATGTGGCCGGGTTCTTCCTGCCCTCCAGAGAAAAGGTGAGAGACGCTTCCTCTCTGATCTCAACTCGCATCTGAAGGGTCGTTCCTCAATTCCTCAGTCCCTCAGTCCCTCAGTTCCTCAGTTCCTCAGTCCCTCAGTCCCCCAGTTCCTCAGTTCCTCTGTCCCTCAGTACCTCCGTTTCTCTGTTCCTCAGTCCCCCAGTTCCTCAGTTCATCACACCGGAGTACTTTTCCCAGTATAGTTCCGAAAATGTGCGTTCACACCAAAAAAAATCTGGAACTAAAATGAGTTCATCAGAACCTTTCCACCCCCTTTTCAGTCCCTGCTAGAGAGCAGGGACTTTCGTGGGAGAAAAAGGTTCCTAGTTCTGATTGGCTGGGCGGATTGCAAACCACGCCCCGTAAAACTCCCAAAAGTTTTGTGAAGCCGCCATTTTATTTTCCTCGCATTAGCATTATTAGCATTAGCATTAGCCCAGCGCACAAACGCAGAGAGACTAACTTATGGCAAAACAAAACATGGGAGCGGTGGAGATGAGGAGGTGTCGGCGTTCTGGCGATTTACTCTGAAGGCTTCAGTAGAAGCTGCTGGGAGTCCCAGCAGCTTCTACTGAAGCCTTCCCCAACTCCGGGGACTTCCGGCCGGGGACTCCGGGTGGCAGTATATGCCGTGAAGTGGTTTGCGGCCTGCCATTAAACCCAAAGCAGAAGAAGAAGAAGTGACGTCAGCGGCTTCATTTGCCTAACCCTCCCTCAGGGACTTATTCCGGTGTGAACGCGATCTGCTCTTTAGTTCATCAGAACTAAAGAGTTCTGATGAAAGCGCCTATTTCCTCAGTTCCTCAGGTCCTCAGGTCCTCAGGTCCTCAGGTCCTCAGGTCCTCAGTTCCTCAGTTCCTCAGTTCCTCAGTTCCTCAGGTCCTCAGGTCCTCAGTTCCTCAGTTCCTCAGTTCCTCAGTTCCTCAGTTCCTCAGGTCCTCAGTTCCTCAGGTCCTCAGGTCCTCAGTTCCTCAGGTCCTCAGTTCCTCAGGTCCTCAGTTCCTCAGGTCCTCAGGTCCTCAGTTCCTCAGGTCCTCAGGTCCTCAGTTCCTCAGGTCCTCAGGTCCTCAGTTCCTCAGGTCCTCAGGTCCTCAGGTCCTCAGTTCCTCAGGTCCTCAGTTCCTCTCTCGTCCTCAGAAGTCTTCAGAGAGCGTTGGTGTACGACAGAAGTTTCCGGAAGGAGATCCGTTCAACAGCTTCCAGTTCTGGAGGCCGGCGCTGCCGACCGTCGACAAAGAGCTGCTGCAGCTGCTGGTGAGGAGACGAGCTAACACAAGTTTACTAACAGTTTATTAAAGCTCAGAAAAAAGACAGGATTTTCAGATTTTCAGATAAAAAGACAGATTTCTTTTTTATTTAGAGAAAAAACTCAAAAATGTAAAAAAAATCTGAATCTTAAAGGTGGGGTAGGTAAGTTTGAGAAACCGGCTCGAGATACACTTGTTGTTATATTCCATGGAATGCTCTTAACATCCCGATAGCAATGAATATCTGAAGTGCTTTGACAAAAAATCCATAAATAAATGTCATCAGTGGAAGCTGTAATACTGTAAAAAGCACGACCAATCATCTGAGCCGGCCCGGCTAAAATAACTGGATGGCCTACCTGCCTGTCAGCCTTCCATCTGTGCACAAACTTATCTCGTGCCCTCATTGGTCATGTGCGCGTTCGTGTGTGTTGGAGGAGGGGCTCTGTGAGGAAGTGGCAGATTTTTTCCGGCTGTGTATTTTCTAATTCTAGCGATCTCGAGCTGGTTTCTCCAAAATTATCTACCCCACCTTTAATATTTTCAGAAAAAAGTCCAAATGTACAGATTTTGAGAAAAGTTCAAATGTTCAGAAAAAAGTAAGAATTTTAAGATTTTCAGAAAAAGTAAGAATGTTGAGAATTTCAGACAAAAGACAGAATTGTGTCTGAAATTCTGTGAGAAACTCAAAAGCTCTTTTCTTCCTCAGGATCCTCTGGAGGTTTCAGATCCCAAAGAGACGTCTTCAGATTCTTTCAACACTTTCAACTCTTTCCAGTTCTGGAGGCCGCCGCTCGCCTCCATCGACTCTCTGATGCACCTGCTGGTGAGGGTTACAGATAACACACAACATATTCACCTCATGTAGCCCCGCCCCTTTTCTCACTTCTGGTTCAAATGTGTAGTTTGAATTACATTTTCTGAGAAATTCAGAAGAGTCAGGGTTTTTAGATTTTCTGAGGAATTCCAAATGTTGTGAAAAAAAAAAGTAATTTTCTCCGCAATTCAGAATTACTTCATTTTCCTGCGAAATTCAAAATGTTGAGATTTTCAGAAAAAAGTCAGAATGTTGAGATTTCCAGAAAAAAGTCAGAATTTTGAGATTTCCAGAAAAAAGTCAGAATTTTGAGATTTCCAGAAAAAAGTCAGAATTTTGAGATTTCCAGAAAAAAGTCAGAATGTTGAGATTTCCAGAGGGTTTAGGACTAACGGTGATTCTGTTGTTCTGCAGAATCTGGACGACGTTTCTTCATCAGATCAGAGGAGCGACGAGGACAAAGAGAACGAGCCTGAAGAGGAGGAAGATGATGAGGAAGAGGATGAAGAGGAAGAGGAGGAAGGTGATGGAGGATGGATCACTCCCGGTAACATCAAACAGGTGAAGATGGACTCTTCTGATTGGACGGCTCCCGCTGATGTCACAGTCGGATGTCTGACCACCGACTTCGCCATGCAGGTAACGATTCGGACCAAAAGGAACCCTAAAACATAATCTCTTATTTAACATTTTTTTAATAAATTAAAATCCAAATATTTATATAAACAAAAAGTGCTCAATAAAAAAAAATTAAAATCAGAGTGAAAATATAAAAAATAAACATTTAAGGTAAAAATGTACAATAAAATAAATACAAATATTTAAAAGTAATCTATAAATATAACAAGGTTCAATAAAACTGTACAAACAAGATATATATTAGTCGAAACACAAGACGTTCAATAAAATGTTAAATAAATAATAAAAAATATTTATACAAACATAAGAAATAAAGTTAAAATGTGTATTTTGTACAATATATAAAAAATAGTTTTTCTGGGGGTTTCTTTTTGGCAACAGTCATTATTTTGCTTAGTAACAGTGTTTATCGAGTATTAACAACCTCTGAAATCTCCGAATTGACCAATCAGGATCGAGTATTCTAACAAGACGTATAATAAATGATAACTCCTGTTTCCAGAACGTTCTGATCCAGATCGGGCTTCACGTCCTGTCCGTTAACGGGATGCTCATCAGACAGGCGAGGAACTACATCCTGAGGTGCCACGCCTGCTTCAAGTGAGTGAAACAACGTGAAATCAAACACCAGACTTTCCTCTGAAGGAGTAAACTATCGTAGGAATTTATCTTGAGTCTCATTTAATTCACAGATCAGTACGGCGGTCATTTATCACACCTTTAATACTAAAGACTGGCAACCTTCTGCTCTCTAGCATGCTACAGAGTATCATACAGGAGGCTACCTGTTATAATGAGCATGTCTTACGTCCCTTTTGTTTCCTGCTTATGTATAAAGTCATTGCTTTTCTGTGTAACTCGGTCAGATCTTGGTACTGTTTGCTAATGCAGGACTCTGGCCTTTCAGCTGGAAATAAGATTATGTTAAATGCTATAACTCTTTATTAAATAACACAACTTTGGTTTAAGCTTGTATATTTGTTCGTTTCTTACCAGAAGGTGATTGAGTGTGGAATTTCCACCACATAAACCTTGATATTCGTTATCTTAAATCCTGTTTCCCAGGACGACGAGCAACATGAGTAAGCTGTTCTGTGCTCACTGTGGGAACCGGACCCTGAAGAAGATCGCAGTGACCGTCAGCGCCGACGGAAACACACAGATGCACTTCTCCAAGAACCCAAAGGTGCTGAACAGCAAAGGACTGAGGGTGAGACTCACACACACACACACAGACACACACACACACAGACACACACAGACACACAGACACACACACACACACAGACACACACAGACACACACACACACACACAGACACACACACACAGACACACACACACACACACACACACGCGCGCCTTTAGCTTAGCGGTGGTGAAGTCATGTGACCGTGTTGTAGTTCCTTTAGCCCAACATTAGCCTCCTTTAGCTTAGCGGTGGCGACGTGAAGTCATGTGACCGTGTTGTAGTTCCTTCATAGCCCAACATTAGCCACCTTTAGCTTAGCGCTGGTGACGTGAAGTCATGTGACCATGCTGTAGTTCCTTTATAGCCCAACATTAGCCACCTTTAGCTTAGCGCTGGTGACGTGAAGTCATGTGACCGTGCTGTAGTTCCTTCATAGCCCAACATTAGCCACCTTTAGCTTAGCGCTGGTGACGTGAAGTCATGTGACCGTGCTGTAGTTCCTTCATAGCCCAACATTAGCCACCTTTAGCTTAGCGCTGGTGACGTGAAGTCATGTGACCGTGCTGTAGTTCCTTTATAGCCCAACATTAGCCACCTTTAGCTTAGCGGTGGTGACGTGAAGTCATGTGACCGTGCTGTAGTTCCTTTATAGCCCAACATTAGCCGCCTTTAGCTTAGCGGTGGTGACGTGAAGTCATGTGACCGTGCTGTAGTTCCTTTATAACCCAACATTAGCCACCTTTAGCTTAGCGGTGGTGACGTGAAGTCATGTGACCGTGCTGTAGTTCCTTTATAGCCCAACATTAGCCGCCTTTAGCTTAGCGGTGGTGACGTGAAGTCATGTGACCGTGCTGTAGTTCCTTTATAGCCCAACATTAGCCGCCTTTAGCTTAGCGGTGGTGACGTGAAGTCATGTGACCGTGTTGTAGTTCCTTTATAGCCCAACATTAGCCTCCTTTAGCTTAGCGGTGGTGATGTGAAGTCATGTGACCGTGCTGTAGTTTCTTTATAGCCCAACATTAGCCACCTTTAGCTTAGCGGTGGTGACGTGAAGTCATGTGACCGTGTTGTAGTTCCTTTATAGCCCAACATTAGCCACCTTTAGCTTAGCGGTGGTGACGTGAAGTCATGTGACCGTGTTGTAGTTCCTTTATAGCCCAACATTAGCCTCCTTTAGCTTAGCGGTGGTGACGTGAAGTCATGTTGCTCTGTTTGAGGAGGACTTCAGTTTGTCATTGCCATACATTAAGATCTAGATAAAAGCACAACAATCAATATATACAAAAAATCAGTCACTTCTTCAATATCTTTGAGAATGTACATTAGTGCAAGACTGTCCGTAGCAGCGTAAAAGTGTCTGGTGCTGACATAACTACACTTTACCTAATGTACAAATGACAATTAAAGCCTTGAATCTAACCCTTCATGTTGTTGTTGTTGTTGTTGTTGCAGCACTCTCTGCCGATGCCTCAGGGAGGTAAACACGGGAACAACCCTCAGCTGGTGGAGGATCAGCGCTTCCCTCAGCAGAGACTCTCCCGTAAAGCCCGGCAGAAAACCAACGTGTTCGACCCGGACTTCGTCACCGGAGCGTCTCCTTTCAGCCAGAACGACATCTACAGCCGAGCCGCTAACCTGCAGATCAGAGACGGGCAGGGGGGCGGCGGGCGGCGGCGCGCTAACCCCAACGCCGCGCACAAGAAGTTTGTGAAGAAGAACTGACCGACACCAGGGTTCAGAATTATTTAAAGGGCCGAAACACCGCTTTTAGAGTTCTAAGTTACAGTAAAAAGACGTCATTTTCTGAATGGAACGAACTGTTTCCTGCTGTTTTGTGTCAGTGAAGTCAGTACATTTGCAGATTTAATTAAAAGGGCCGAAACACCGCTGCACATCGGGGGCGTTTAGGTTTAAGGCTGGGCGATAAAAGGATGTTATAACGAATCCACTAAATATCGTCTTGTATTTTGGATATGGTAATTTATTTCCTGGTTTTAGAGACTTAAGTTACACACACTGTGTCCTGCTGTTTTGTGTCAGTAAATTCACATAAATAATGATAATTGATCCCAAATGTAATTGTATTAATGTTGTTAAAGCACTAAATATTTGGTATTTGCTCGGAAATATTGAGAAATTAGATTATAACAAATTTATGAAGAACTGACCGACACCAGGATTCAGATTGAATTAAAGGGCTGCACATCTGGGGCGTTTAGGTTAAGGCTGGGGACTAATGTCTTTTCCTGGGTTTAGAGTCTAAATTACTGTAAAAAAATACATAATTTTCTGAATTGCTGTTTTGTGTAAAGTCAGTAAATTCACATACATAATGATAATTTACCCCAAATTTCAATGTCTGCTCTGATAATTTGGTATTTGCTCAGAAATATTGTGACATCAAATACCAAAATTGGGAAGTGGATTATTGGTGCTTTAATACAAATATCTACACAATGAAATGTTGGATAACCCTAACCCTATTATCAGTAATGTGGATTTAATGGCTAAATGTGTAAAAGCAAATAATGAAAAGACAATAACAGTTTAGAAAATTCAAAAAATGACATTATTTGACTGTAAATTCGCGTTTCAAACCAGAAAAAGTCCCGTATTTCATCAGAAATCTAAGGCCATATCACAATGCTCAGCCTTATTGTAGTTTTAAAAAATGATTTACAGAGCCATGGGAGCTGGGATTTATTAAAATAAGAAGTCAGAAGTTTGTTAGAAAAACGTATTTTGGTCAGGGAACCAGATCTAATGTAATTTATATATAATATAACCCTCCTCCCCTGGCTCCGTTATGTTTTTTTAAATCTACACATAATACCTGACCCTAATACACGGTGGTATGTTACCCGTTAACTGCATGTTTAAATATTACACAGTAAAGCATGCTAACTGCAGAACGGTCCTTTAAACAGCAGTCAAACAGTACCATGTGATGTAACACGATCAATATATTCTACTCCAATAAATGTTCAAACTACAACTGATGCAGTTTCTTATTTCTATGTGTCAACAAATGTGTGATTTATTTCAGATAATCCTGCTTCCAGTTTTTGTGCTAAGGAAACTAGGTTAACAATTTGACCTGATTACGGCCTTTATGCTAAGCTAGGCTAACAGTTTCCCCTGCTTCCAGTTTTATAAACCGTGCTAAGCTAGGCTAACAGTTTCCCCTGCTTCCAGTCTTGATGCTAAGCTAGGCTAACAAATTCTACTTCTTTCAGTTTTTTGTGCTAAGCTAGGCTAACAGTTTCTCCTGCTTCCAGTCCTTGTGCTAAGCTAGGCTAACGGTGTCCAGTACTTTTAGTTTTTTGTGCTAATCTAGTCTAACAGTTTCCCATGCTTCCAGTCTTGGTGCTAATCTAGGCTAACTGTGCTTCCAGTCCTTGTGCTAAGCTAGGCTAACAGTTTCCAGTCTTGGTGCTAAGCTAGCCTAACGGTGTCCACTGCTTCCAGTTTTTATACTAAGCTTTGCTAACAATTTCCCCTTTCTTCCAGTCTTTGTGCTAAGCTAGGCTAACGGTGTCCAGTATTTTCAGTTGTTTGTGCTAAGCTCTGCTAACAATTTCCCCTGCTTACAGTCGTTATGCTAAGCTAGGCTAACAATAACCATGATACAAAAGTATGAGAGTCCTGAGACTTTTTAAGAACACTTTTTTTTTCTCAAATAACATAATTTTTACAGAATTCCAGAAAATAAGCCAAGTAAATTGAGTCATTGATTACACGTTGAAATCCCATTTATTCACTATACATGTTTACACTTAGCTTTTATCCATACACCAACTTTACACCTCAGCCAAAAGAAAAACACTTTATAAAAACATTTCAACATTATCTGGACTTTAAGGGCAAATGCATAAAAAGAGGTGTGAACACAGACTTAGCATTTCCCTTCACCTTAAAGAGTATTTTCTTTCCAATAAATCATTTGAACGTCCCATCACCACAGCAGGGAACCCTCCCACTGGAGAAATCATTATATATTCATTTTTATTATTATTATTAATAGAGTTATTTAATCATAGTAGTCACTCCAGAGAAAAGTCTTCGTCCTGATCCTCAGACTCGCTTTTTCCCGTTTCCTCGCTCAGCTCCACTTCCTGTTGCTGCGTCTCCACTTCCTGTTGATGAGTCTCTACTTCCTGTTGCTGCGTCTCCACTTCCTGTTGCTGCGTCTCCACTTCCTGTTGCTTCGTCTCCACTTCCTGTTGATGCGTCTCTACTTCCTGTTGCTTCGTCTCCACTTCCTGTTGCTGCGTCTCCACTTCCTGTCGCTGCGTCTCCAAAGTGAGGCCGCTGAGTTCGGGGGAAATGTCGATATCGGAGGAGATTTCTGGAAGTTGGATCTCTTCCGGCGCAATTTCGATTTGCGGCAGCAGGAAGCTGAGCGGCGTCAGGATGGCGGCGATGTCGATGGTTCCCAAACTACCGAATCTGTGCAGCTGAGAGACGGGAACTCCTGCAGAGAAACATTTAAACCTGTCAGTGAAAGGCCGCATCAATATGACATCCGTTGATACTGAGATCACCATTATTTAAAACCATTACTCCATGACTTTGGAAACTGACTTCAATGTAAAGCTAAGATAACATATAAGTATTGTTAGGGAATAATTTGCTTAGGTATTCAACCTTTGACCCAGTTCATCATTTTCTCCTCTCACTGTCTCCTTTCCCACGGCATAGGTCTACGGCCTGGGGTTCTGCTGCTATCTCTCTTAAGGGGGAGTAGCTTGGGTTCTGCTGCTATCTCTCTTAAGGGGGAGTAGCTTGGGTTCTGCTGCTATCTCTCTTAAGGGGGAGTAGCTTGGGTTCTGCTGCTATCTCTCTTAAGGGGGAGTAGCTTGGGTTCTGCTGCTATCTCTCTTAAGGGGGAGTAGCTTGGGTTCTGCTGCTATCTCTCTTAAGGGGGAGTAGCTTGGGTTCTGCTGCTATCTCTCTTAAGGGGGAGTAGCTTGGGTTCTGCTGCTATCTCTCTTGAGGAGGGGCAGCGTGGGTTCTGCTGCTATCTCTCTTGAGGAGGGGCAGCTTGGGCGCATTGTTGATGCCAGTCTATGACTGAGCACAAGCCGCCATGAGGTAGTTTACTGTTCAGGGACGTAGGTTCCCTGGCGCACATTCTTTCCTATGGACGAGAGCTCTAGTTAGATTCAGGGTCCATAATTGCTTTAGTCTCACTGATGAAGAATGTTGATTATTACACTCTGAACTAGTTAAAACCTCGAGCTACAACTCGTGACACACAACATGTTTTGTGAATTCTCCGGCCGAAGCTCGTAATAAACCATCAGTGTTTGACATCAAAGCTCCAGCTCTCCTCGTGTCTCTCTGAGTCCTGACTCCCATTGCTACAGAACTTTCCCCCACAAGTATATAGATATAAAGTAAAATAAGTAACAGGCACTTGAAAACTCAGAGATAATATATATATAAGAAAACAACAACAAACACATGTCAAATATCATAATCAATATGACTTCATGATTATCTATAACCATTACTCCATAACTTTGGTTGAGATAATATATGAAAAACAAATAAAGAAATCCTCTCATTTATGTGAGATGAAATCAGGAGAACAGATGTGAGTGTGTGAGATGAAATCAGGAGAACAGATGTGAGTGTGTGAGATGAAATCAGGAGAACAGATGTGAGTGTGTGAGATGAAATCAGGAGAACAGATGTGTGTGTGAGATGAAATCAGGAGAACAGATGTGAGTGAGATGAAATCAGGAGAACAGATGTGAGTGTGTGAGATGAAATCAGGAGAACAGATGTGAGTGTGTGAGATGAAATCAGGAGAACAGATGTGTGTGTGTGTGAGATGAAATCAGGAGAACAGATGTGAGTGTGTGAGATGAAATCAGGAGAACAGATGTGTGTGTGTGAGATGAAATCAGGAGAACAGATGTGAGTGTGTGAGATGAAATCAGGAGAACAGATGTGAGTGAGATGAAATCAGGAGAACAGATGTGAGTGAGATGAAATCAGGAGAACAGATGTGAGTGAGTGAGATGAAATCAGGAGAACAGATGTGTGTGTGAGATGAAATCAAGAGAACAGATGTGTGTGAGATGAAATCAGGAGAACAGATGTGAGTGTGTGAGATGAAATCAGGAGAACAGATGTGTGTGAGATGAAATCAGGAGAACAGATGTGTGTGAGATGAAATCAGGAGAACAGATGTGAGTGTGTGAGATGAAATCAGGAGAACAGATGTGTGTGTGTGAGATGAAATCAGGAGAACAGATGTGAGTGTGTGAGATGAAATCAGGAGAACAGATGTGAGTGTGAGATGAAATCAGGAGAACAGATGCGAGTGAGATGAAATCAGGAGAACATGTTAGTGTGTGAGATGAAATCAGGAGAACAGATGTGAGTGTGATGAAATCAGGAGAACAGATGTGTGTGTGAGATGAAATCAAGAGAACAGATGTGAGTGAGATGAAATCAGGAGAACAGATGTGAGTGAGTGAGATGAAATCAGGAGAACAGATGTTAGTGTGTGAGATGAAATCAGGAGAACAGATGTGAGTGAGTGAGATGAAATCAGGAGAACAGATGTGAGTGAGTGAGATGAAATCAGGAGAACAGATGTGAGTGAGTGAGATGAAATCAGGAGAACAGATGTTAGTGTGTGAGATGAAATCAGGAGAACAGATGTGAGTGTGTGAGATGAAATCAGGAGAACAGATGTGAGTGTGTGAGATGAAATCAGGAGAACAGATGTGTGTGTGAGATGAAATCAGGAGAACAGATGTGAGTGAGTGAGATGAAATCAGGAGAACAGATGTGAGTGAGTGAGATGAAATCAGGAGAACAGATGTGAGTGGTAGATGAATCAGGAGAAGGTTAGTGTGTGAGATGAAATCAGGAGAACAGATGTGAGTGTGTCAGATGAATTCAGGAGAACAGATGTGAGTGTGTGAGATGAAATCAGGAGAACAGATGTGAGTGTGTGAGATGAAATCAGGAGAACAGATGGGAGTGTGTGAGCTGAAATCAGGAGAACAGATGTGTGTGAGATGAAATCAGGAGAACAGATGTGAGTGTGTCAGATGAATTCAGGAGAACAGATGTGAGTGTGTGAGATGAAATCAGGAGAACAGATGTGAGTGTGTGAGATGAATTCAGGAGAACAGATGTGAGTGAGATGAAATCAGGAGAACAGATGTGTGTGAGTGAGATGAAATCAGGAGAACAGATGTTAGTGTGTGAGATGAAATCAGGAGAACAGATGTGATTGTGTCAGATGAATTCAGGAGAACAGATGTGTGTGAGATGAAATCAGGAGAACAGATGTGTGTGAGATGAAATCAGGAGAACAGATGTGTGTGTGAGATGAAATCAGGAGAACAGATGTGTGTGAGATGAAATCAGGAGAACAGATGTGTGTGAGATGAAATCAGGAGAACAGATGTGTGTGAGATGAAATCAGGAGAACAGATGTGAGTGTGTGAGATGAAATCAGGAGAACAGATGTGTGTGAGTGAGATGAAATCAGGAGAACAGATGTGAGTGTGTCAGATGAATTCAGGAGAACAGATGTGAGTGTGTCAGATGAATTCAGGAGAACAGATGTGAGTGTGTGAGATGAAATGAGGAGAACAGATGTGAGTGTGTGAGATGAATTCAGGAGAACAGATGTGAGTGAGATGAAATCAGGAGAACAGATGTGTGTGAGTGAGATGAAATCAGGAGAACAGATGTTAGTGTGTGAGATGAAATCAGGAGAACAGATGTGAGTGTGTGTGATGAAATCAGGAGAACAGATGTGAGTGTGTCAGATGAATTCAGGAGAACAGATGTGTGTGAGATGAAATCAGGAGAACAGATGTGAGTGTGTGAGATGAAATCAGGAGAACAGATGTGAGTGTGTGTGAGATGAAATCAGGAGAACAGATGTGAGTGTGTGAGATGAATTCAGGAGAACAGATGTGTGTGAGATGAAATCAGGAGAACAGATGTGTGTGAGTGAGATGAAATCAGGAGAACAGATGTTAGTGTGTGTGATGAAATCAGGAGAACAGATGTGAGTGTGTCAGATGAATTCAGGAGAACAGATGTGTGTGAGATGAAATCAGGAGAACAGATGTTAGTGTGTGAGCTGAAATCAGGAGAACAGATGTGAGTGAGTGAGATGAAATCAGGAGAACAGATGTGAGTGAGTGAGCTGAAATCAGGAGAACAGATGTGAGTGAGTGAGATGAAATCAGGAGAACAGATGTGAGTGTGTCAGATGAATTCAGGAGAACAGATGTGAGTGTGTGAGATGAAATCAGGAGAACAGATGTGTGTAAGATGAAATCAGGAGAACAGATGTGTGTGTGAGATGAAATCAGGAGAACAGATGTGTGTGTGAGATGAAATCAGGAGAACAGATGTGAGTGTGTGAGATGAAATCAGGAGAACAGATGTGAGTGAGATGAATTCAGGAGAACAGATGCGAGTGAGTGAGATGAAATCAGGAGAACAGATGTGTGTGAGATGAAATCAGGAGAACAGATGTGAGTGTGTGAGATGAAATCAGGAGAACAGATGCGAGTGTGTGAGATGAAATCAGGAGAACAGATGTGAGTGTGTGAGCTGAAATCAGGAGAACAGATGTGAGTGTGTGAGATGAAATCAGGAGAACAGATGTGTGTGTGAGATGAAATCAGAACAGATGTGTGTGTGAGATGAAATCAGGAGAACAGATGTGAGTGTGTGAGATGAAATCAGGAGAACAGATGTGTGTGTGAGATGAAATCAGGAGAACAGATGTTAGTGTGTGAGATGAAATCAGGAGAACAGATGTGAGTGTGTGAGCTGAAATCAGGAGAACAGATGTGAGTGTGTGAGCTGAAATCAGGAGAACAGATGTGAGTGTGTGAGATGAATTCAGGAGAACAGATGTGTGTGAGATGAAATCAGGAGAACAGATGTTAGTGTGTCAGATGAAATCAGGAGAACAGATGTGTGTGAGATGAAATCAGGAGAACAGATGTGTGTGTGAGATGAAATCAGGAGAATAGATGTGAGTGTGAGAGATGAAATCAGGAGAATAGATGTGAGTGTGTGAGATGAAATCAGGAGAACAGATGTGAGTGTGTGATGAAATCAGGAGAACAGATGTGAGTGTGTGAGATGAAATCAGGAGAACAGATGTTAGTGTGTGAGATGAAATCAGGAGAACAGATGTAAGTGTGTGAGATGAAATCAGGAGAACAGATGTGAGTGTGTCAGATGAATTCAGGAGAACAGATGTGAGTGTGTGAGATGAAATCAGGAGAACAGATGTGTGTAAGATGAAATCAGGAGAACAGATGTGTGTGTGAGATGAAATCAGGAGAACAGATGTGTGTGTGAGATGAAATCAGGAGAACAGATGTGAGTGTGTGAGATGAAATCAGGAGAACAGATGTGAGTGAGATGAATTCAGGAGAACAGATGCGAGTGAGTGAGATGAAATCAGGAGAACAGATGTGTGTGAGATGAAATCAGGAGAACAGATGTGAGTGTGTGAGATGAAATCAGGAGAACAGATGCGAGTGTGTGAGATGAAATCAGGAGAACAGATGTGAGTGTGTGAGCTGAAATCAGGAGAACAGATGTGAGTGTGTGAGATGAAATCAGGAGAACAGATGTGAGTGTGTGAGATGAATTCAGGAGAACAGATGTGTGTGAGATGAAATCAGGAGAACAGATGTTAGTGTGTCAGATGAATTCAGGAGAACAGATGTGTGTGAGATGAAATCAGGAGAACAGATGTTAGTGTGTGAGATGAAATCAGGAGAACAGATGTGAGTGTGTGAGATGAAATCAGGAGAACAGATGTGAGTGTGTGTGATGAAATCAGGAGAACAGATGTGAGTGTGTGAGATGAATTCAGGAGAACAGATGTGTGTGAGATGAAATCAGGAGAACAGATGTGTGTGTGAGATGAAATCAGAACAGATGTGTGTGAGATGAAATCAGGAGAACAGATGTGAGTGTGTGAGATGAAATCAGGAGAACAGATGTGTGTGTGAGATGAAATCAGGAGAACAGATGTTAGTGTGTGAGATGAAATCAGGAGAACAGATGTGAGTGTGTGAGCTGAAATCAGGAGAACAGATGTGAGTGTGTGAGCTGAAATCAGGAGAACAGATGTGAGTGTGTGAGATGAATTCAGGAGAACAGATGTGTGTGAGATGAAATCAGGAGAACAGATGTTAGTGTGTCAGATGAAATCAGGAGAACAGATGTGTGTGAGATGAAATCAGGAGAACAGATGTGTGTGTGAGATGAAATCAGGAGAATAGATGTGAGTGTGTGAGATGAAATCAGGAGAACAGATGTGAGTGTGTGATGAAATCAGGAGAACAGATGTGAGTGTGTGAGATGAATTCAGGAGAACAGATGTGTGTGAGATGAAATCAGGAGAACAGATGTGTGTGTGAGATGAAATCAGGAGAACAGATGTTAGTGTGCGAGATGAAATCAGGAGAACAGATGTGAGTGTGTGAGCTGAAATCAGGAGAACAGATGTGAGTGTGTGAGCTGAAATCAGGAGAACAGATGTGAGTGTGTGAGATGAAATCAGGAGAACAGATGTGAGTGTGTGAGCTGAAATCAGGAGAACAGATGTTAGTGTGTCAGATGAAATCAGGAGAACAGATGTGTGTGAGATGAAATCAGGAGAACAGATGTGTGTGTGAGATGAAATCAGGAGAACAGATGTGTGTGAGATGAAATCAGGAGAACAGATGTGAGTGTGTGAGATGAAATCAGGAGAACAGATGTGAGTGTGTGAGATGAAATCAGGAGAACAGATGTGAGTGTGTGAGATGAAATCAGGAGAACAGATGTGTGTGAGATGAATGATTTTGTAAAAATAAATGTCCTGCCGAGACAGAAAACCGTTTGAACCCAAGTGTTGGGAGGACAGCGCCCCCTGCTGGTGGTTAAGAAACTGCGTTATTAAGTACATTGAAATGCACAGCTAGTAAAGAGGAGGAATTCATCAATATTACGGTGGTCGACATTAATAATAATAATAATATATTTTATCTTGAGGCACCTTTCAAGACACCCAAGGACCCTGCACAACTCTATTGAATATTGTTATATATTATATATTGAGATTATGATTGTTTAGAGCCATTGCTCTCTGACTTTGGAAACATCATGGACATTTTAGAATGAATTGAAAAGACACAAAAGAATATATTTAAATAAAGAAATTTAAAATAAGTAATCAAATTATTTAAAACATCAAATAGGTCATTTCTAAACTGTAGCTTTGTGCATATGATGATAACACCTTTGAATATTTGAGTGTATTCTGATATTGAACAGGTGAGATGTGATTGGATGATTTCCTGCTCCTCACCCAGGATGAGAGCGATCTGATTGGGCGGGAAGAGGATCTGAAGGCAGCGGTTGATGAAAGGCAGCAGATCCTCAGCGTACGAGCAGCAGAACGACAGGAAGAGGTCCTTCTCTCGAGCGCTGAACGCCGACTCCTCTGCACGGTGGAACAGCAACACCTGACGCGTCACCTGACAGGAAACAGGAAGTTACAGCAGCACTGTTGGAGCACGTCAAGTCAATCACAATCCTGAATACAAAAACAAATATATATACAAATATGTATATCATATATATACACACAATCAAAAGACACATTTGCACATATTCACACATTAAGACATACATAAAAGCACACAATCAATAAATACAAAATACCAGTCACTTCAATATCTTTGAGAAGACCGTCTATAGCTATCTGAACACGGGTTGTTCTTTGTAGGGAGTGACTCACGTTGGTCATGGCGTCCAGCAGGCAGACGCTCACCTCCTCAGACATTATGGTATGAACAGTATGATAGGAGACCTTTAGGTTAGTGACTCACGTTGGTCATGGCGTCCTGCAGGCAGACGCTCACCTCCTCAGCGAGGCCCACAGGGCAACAGAGCCTCAGGTCGTTGAAGGCGCTCAGGATGTTGTTGAGGAAGCAGGCGAGCGGGGTGAAGTCCAGCAGAGAGAGGGGGGGCTGCAGGGTGCCGGGCTGGGGCCCCTGCTGGGGGGGGATGGAGCCCCCCAGCACCGAGGGCATGGAGATCAGGGTGTACACGTTCATGTCCTCCTGGAACCTCTCCAGCGCCTCCGACACGGCGCCGCGAAACGTCTCCGCCGCCGAGCGCTGGAACATCGGAGCCAGCTGGCCGCGGAAATCTGCCCCGACCCGACTGAAGGAGAGGCCGAAGTACATGCACTGACCCAGCAGGGAGTCCAGACGCCCCCCCACCTGACGGGGCAACAGAACAACACATGGGTCAGAAGAGGGGATTTCTGTGGTTACATTTCATAAGGTTTACTTTGTTCATAGTGTGCTTTGGGCTTTGTTTCTATTCTTTCTGTATCAAGTACCGGCTGGACCATTCGGGTCACATGGGGGCACTGAAGTGTGTGAGAGGAGTGTGTGAGGTGAGGTGTGTGAAGTGTGTGTGAGGAGAGAGAGAGGAGTGCGTTTAAAGAGAGAGAGAGAGAGAGAGAGAGAGAGAGAGAGAGAGAGAGAGAGAGAGAGAGAGAGAGAGAGAGAGAGAGAGAGAGATTCATTAACTGACAGTTTCACAAATAAAAAATATACATGTAATACAGATGTATTGCACAATAGCTGTGCTTTATGTTAACTGAGCTGAGCCTGTGGCAAGCTATCAACAGGCATTACACTGTGCCTTGTCTTTTTCTGTATTAGTGTAGTGGAGCCTCACTTTAGAGCGTCTACCGCCATCCATCTTTGGTGTTATGAAGTGACTGAGCTCCTGAACTGTCTACGGGAGGGTGGGGGGAGCCTCGCTGCGGGGCAACTGTGGACCTCTGTCGCCTGTCAGCGCAACTTACATGATGCCGTTAAGGGAAAAATTAAGGGCGGTGCCGGCCGTCAATGGCCCGCTGACGACCGGCCGTTCTGTGATTCTCCAGAACACACAGATGGCCAGTCCGCCCTGGCTGTATTCCACCGGGTCACCGCGGCACCGCAGCGCAGACGGACCCGGTGGAATACAGGGTCTACAGCGTTTAGGAACCGTTAAGTAGAACCAAAATTGTGTATTTTATATGGGTACCCGGTACCCGGCATTTTCTTATCGGTTCTCATCTGGAACCGAGTTTCGGTTCCCAACCCTAGTGGCAGGTGAGTGTGGCAGGTGAGTGTGAGGTGAGGAGTGTGAGGAGTGTGTAAAGTGTGTGTGAGGTGTGTGTGAGGTGTGTGTGAGGAGTGTGGCAGGTGTGTGTGAGGTGAGGAGTGTGGCAGGTGTGTGTGGCAGGTGTGTGTGAGGTGAGGAGTGTGTAAAGTGTGTGTGAGGTGAGGGTGTATTTTTTTTTTCACAGCTGGATATTCAGAAATGTATATTTAGTAAGTTATAAAAAGCTGATGAATGTTATTAAAGCAATATTTAATTCAACGCAGTTTTGCATCTCAGCATGTATTTCAGATAAGATGGAACTTTATTTATCCCTGTTGGGAGATTCAGGCGTTCATAGCAGCAACAGGTCAGAGTTAAAAACAGGATTCACACAAGGTCAAAATGATGATCAATTAGAATACTAATTAAAATAACAACACATACAAAATAAAGTGATAAAGTGATAAATCCTCAGTATTCACCCCTCGCTGCAAGTCCCTCTCCAGCGTCTGCAGGAACTCGGACACCATCTTCACCACCCAGCCGTGGAAGATGGCCGCCTCGTTCACCTGGCTGCCGGGCAGGGGGTCGTCGTCGGAGAAGATGGCGCGGTACTGCGTGATGACGTCGAACAGGTGCACGCGGCACGCCTCCATGGTCTTGGTGATGTGGAAGTAGGGGTCGTCGTTAGGCACGGCGGCCAGGATGGAGCTCAGCCAGGAGCCGCGCGCCTGCAGGAACTTCACCCGAAGCTCCGCCTCCGTGAACACGTCCATCCTGCGCAGGTAGCCAATCACACGCAGGCACACGGGCAGCTGGGAGTTACTGCGCAGCTGCTGCAGGAGCTGGTTCAGCATCAGAGACGTGGACTGACGCACCTCGCGCACGATACCCTGAGGGAAGAGAGTTATATGAGAGGAGAATATAGAAAAGAAGATGGAACAAATGACATACACTTCATTAGAACTGTTTCTGAGTGTACTTGGAGCTGTTTCTGAGTGTACTTAGAGCTGTGTATTTAGAGCTGTCTCAGTGTTGTTTCCTCACCTGGATGACGGGCAGAGTCGAGTGTTTCCTCTCCAGCCTCTTCACGTACGCTGCCAGCTCCAGAGCCTCCTCGTAGTATGCGTTTCGGACGCAGGTGTCCATGAGCTGCGGGATCTCCAGGATCTCCAGGATCTCCGTGTGCCGGTTCAGCGTCAAGCTGTTCATCCTCCGGCTCGACCCGATCTCCTCCGCCTCCTTCATGAAGCCCCTGAACACACACACCCACCCACCCAAATTCACATGTGTGCCAACAGTCCAGCCGTGAAGACATCTACGAGACAGTTGCTCAACACAATGCTCGCCATGAAACACGGTTTTCTCATAACTTCAGTGAAAATGCTTCAAACGGCCCAAAACTTCACAGGTTTGGTAACGATGCAGGCATCACCGCATCTAAGCGTATTATGGGGTGTCATCCATGGCGACAGACAACTCGCCATGAAACACGATGTCGCTGTAAGTCCAATCGACACGGTCCAATCGTCCCCCAATCTTCACTTGTATATCACCGGTCCATGCCTCAACAGCCCTATGCCAAATCTGAGATCTCACCATATGTCATTACCATGGAAACGCATCCCTCGCCATAAAACATGATGTCGCTATAACTCCTATGAAAATGTTCAAAAAGTGCTCAAACTTCACGTGTGCTAACAGTCCAGCCGTGAAGACATCTACGGGACAGTTTTGAGATTTCTTCAAATGCAGTTGCCATGGTAACACAAGGCTCGCCATGAAACACGGTTTTCTCATAACTTCAGTGAAAATGCTCCAAACGGCCCAAAACTTCACAGGTTTGGTAACGATGCAGCCATCAACGCATCTAAGCGTATTATGGGATGTCATCAAATGCCGTTGGCATGGCAACAGATCATTTGACATCAAGTTAGTTCAAAAGTTTGCAGTTCAAATATTCTGCTGCTTTTCCAAGCCTTTTACTTTCTTTTCTTCTCTCATCACACATTCAAGCCCCCAGTGTTCATGTATCATTTCAATCTAAATTCTTCACTTTCTTCTTACACATTACATTTCGGCATAGCAGTTTAGCGTCAGCTTTTCAGCATAAAGCATTCCCACTAGCAATTTCTTCAGGAATTGCATTCTCTAGTTACTGTTAGTTACTGGTTGTTGGTTGTTAGTTACTGGTTGTTGGTTGTTAGTAACTGGTTGTTGGTTGTTAGTTACTGGTTGTTACTGGTTGTTACTAGTCGTTACTAGTCTCTCTCACCTGCACCTCTCTCCTAACCCCGGCAGTTACTAGTTACTGGTTGTTACTAGTTGTCAGTGGTTGTTGGATGTTAGTTATTGATTAGTTATTAGCTCTCACCTGCATCTCCCCCAGCCCCGGCAGCTTACCGATCACGCTGTTCTCTAGTTTACTGGTTGTCACTAGCTGTCACTAGCTGTTAGTGGTAGTTACTGGTTGTCAGTGGTTGTTGGATGTTAGTTACTTGTTGTCACTAACCTGCATCTCTCCCCCAGCCCCGGCAGCTTCCCGATCAGCAGGTTCACGCTGCCCTCCACCCGGCTGAAGTCCCGGTAGATGAGCTCCGTGCAGTTGGCTGTCCGGATGAAGGTCTGGTAGTTCCTGAAGGCCAGGTCCCGGGTCTGCTGGAGGATCAGAGCCCGGTCCTCCTGCAGTCTCTCCGGCTCTCGGACCAGCTGCTCGAGCCTCAGAGAGCTCAGCTCCGACAGATAAGCGTTACAGTCCGGGGAGAAGCGGTCCTTAAAGATGGAGGCGAGGAGACTCTCGTCCTCCACGTCCACCGCCGCCATGTTTGTTTATACTGGCTTCTTCCGCCTCTATTTCTTCTTCTTCTCTGTTGAGATTTACGGCGGTTGGCATCCAGTTTAATGGTACATTACCGCCACCTTTCTGTTACGGAGTGTACGCTTTTGGTAGGGATAATACAATAATAATAATACAAATACATAAATAAAATAAAATAAATAACGTCGCAGATCCTATGAAAAATCCCCGTACTCCTTAAGTAATTAATATGTTCCCAGTAAAATTCGTGAATCAAATGTTGTTTCAAAAACGTTGCGTGGTGACGTCACCGGAGGTTACGTCGGTTTGTTGCTAAGCTGCAGCGGAGCAGCAACCGGTCAACAAGAGACAGTTTACGGTTTAACGGTCTCCGGTTTAACGGTCTCCGGTGTCTCAGAGGACCACCGACACACACACGGAGGCTAACGGACCGGTATGTGGTTTCTAACGGATCAGATAACATCTAGCGTTAGCTTAGCGTTAATTAGCTCTGCTAACTGACAGCTAGCTTTAAAGCTAATGGCTGTAAGTCACCCGGATGTAAGGATAACTAGCTTGAGTTAAAGTTTGTTTATACACTTTATACTACAAGATTGAACTACAAACAGTCACGTTAAGTAACTAAGTACATTAACCCAAGTACCGTACTTAAGTACACTTTAGAGATACTTGTACTTTACTTGTGTAGTTTGATGTTATGCTACTGAGTACTTCTACTCCACTACAGTTCAGAGGTACATGGTGTACTTGTACTCCACTACATGTATTTAATACCTTTAGTTACTTTACAGATGTGGATTAATGATGTGAAATATAATCAAGTGTTAAATCAGACTTTAGTTCCACCTGGAGTAAATCCACAAGCTACCCTGCAGTATACAAAGTCATTCAAACTAGCTGCACCTTTACCAGCTTTGAGAACACTTTCATGATCAATCATTATAAAACATATCATATATATTATTCTGAAATGGACCAATCTGCACAATGACTACTTTTACTGTCGCTACTTTCACTATATTTTGATGAGAATACTTTTCTACTTTTACTTGAGGAACATTTTGAATGCAGGACTTTTACTGAAACAGAGTATTCCTACACTCTGGTACTTCTACTTTTACTCAAGTACAAGATCTGAGTACTTCTACTTTTACTCAAGTACAACCCTGAGTACTTCTACTTTTACTCAAGTACAAGACCTGAGTACTTCTACTTTTACTCAAGTACAAGATCTGAGTACTTCTACTTTTACTCAAGTACAAGATCTGAGTACTTCTACTTTTACTCAAGTACAAGATCTGAGTACTTCTACTTTTACTCAAGTACAAGATCTGAGTACTTCTCCACCTCTGACTACAAAGGTAGATTTCAATAAACAACAACGTTATCCGGTGTTCACACTTAAAATACAGACACATACATATGGCAGCCATGGCTACTAATTTAAAAACTAAGTGACATAACGAACATATGACTTTGTTGAGATGTTATTAAAATGTATGTTTATCACATTCAAGTGATTATTGCACGGTACAATTGCAAAACAGTGTTTATATTGCTCATTGCAGGTTTATTGCGCAATAAGCTTATTTAAAGGACACATGTCTCAGAGCTAGAGAGAGAACAGAGGATGTGTTTCATGGAGACAGGTGCAGATCGTATTGGAGTGTATGTGACACACCTTTACTCTGCAGGTGTCTCTCTGCAGGCAGTGGAGCAGCTGATGTCTGAACTCACTGATCCGGACTGAAGTGGATGAATTTACCTCAGCGTGGGTCCAATGGCTGCATCCAACAGCACCAAGATCTCATGGAGGCTGCGTGAGTTTAACCTGAAGTGTCCTCTGATAGACTGAGCAGAACACACACATTCACCCTCACCTCAACACACACATTCACCCTCACCTCATGGGAAGAGCAGAACACACACATTCACCCTCACCTCATGGGAAGAACACACACATTCACCCTCACCTCAACACACACATTCACCCTCACCTCATGGGAAGAACAGAACACACACATTCACCCTCACCTCATGGGAAGAACAGAACACACACATTCACCCTCACCTCATGGGAAGAGCAGAACACACACATTCACCCTCACCTCATGGGAAGAACACACACATTCACCCTCACCTGATGGGAAGAGCAGAACACACACATTCACCCTCACCTGATGGGAAGAGCAGAACACACACATTCACCCTCACCTCAACACACACATTCACCCTCACCTCATGGGAAGAACAGAACACACACATTCACCCTCACCTGATGGGAAGAGCAGAACACACACATTCACCCTCACCTCATGGGAAGAACAGAACACACACATTCACCCTCACCTGATGGGTAGCACCTATGTAACGCTACTAAATACTCCTTTTGGTTTGTTTTTGTCACTTCTTGTATTTTGTTGTATTGGATGAATCTTTAATCTTCTGATATCTGTCCCTGGAAATAACAACTATAACAGTTAGTAGTTTAAGTTATGAGTACAATGAGTAAAGCTCATACAGTCCTTTGGGGAGACTCATCAGATATTAGACCTAGCCGAGCGTATGGAGCTACATTTTTGTTTCTGTATTCCCAGGTGAGCAGAAGTGAGGAGGGGAAACCACTAAAAGCATTACATGGCCTCTTTTTAAATATCTGTTCTCCCCTTTGTTTCTTGTCTTAAATATGTGTCCTTGTTGTGATGGAGGAAGCATTAAAGTGTCCCTCCCTTGTTGCCGTACAGAGGAGTTCGAAGCGCACTCCAGCAGCGTGTCCTGCCTGTCTCTGGGGAAGAGTTCAGGACGCCTGCTGGCCACCGGAGGAGAGGACTGCCGGGTGAACATCTGGGCTGTGAGCAAGGCCAACTGCATCATGGTGAGACACACACACACACACACACTCACACTCACACACACACTCACACTCACACACACACTCACACTGTTATCTGAGACACTCCTCTGGTCTCATCTGAGATAGCAGAGCGATTCTAAACCCCTCGCTCTTCAAACTGTTGCAGCATCTCCCTGGTCCAATGTGATTTAGTCACAATCAGATCTCTGTTGCAAACACACGTGTATGATTCTTACCCGTTCTGTTCTCTCAGAGTCTGACGGGCCATAAGACCCCGGTGGAGTGTGTGCAGTTCAACCCGTCTGAGGAGCAGGTGGTGGCCGGATCTCAGTCTGGATCCATCAGAGTCTGGGACCTGGAGGCGGCCAAGAGTGAGCCCTCCTCTCTCCTTTAACATCTGTACACTCTTAGCTCCCTACAAACAAACACTCATACATCTACAAACATTTAAAACATGTTTACATCAGAACAAATCTATTCTTTCACACATTTAGCCAACTAAATATAACATTTTCACTGCGCTCAACAACGGTTTGCTTTTCTGCTCGCTGCACACAAAAGGGTTTTAAAGGTCCCATGTCACGGCCATTTCTACTGATCATAATTCCATTGTTGAGGTATACTAAAATAGATTTATATTGTGCAATTTTCCAAACTCACATTGGTTTCTCATACAGCATCTCTGTATAGTATGTGTATTCACTCTCTGTCCTAAACGGCTTGTTGGAGCTCCTGACCCCCCCTCCCTGTGAGCCCCGTGGCCGTCTGCGAGACAGCGAAACCCAGCCCGAAACCAGCCCGAGCACACACACACACACCCGCAGTCTGGCTGGGAGTTTGTGTGTGTGCTCACACACCGACTCACAGCCTCGCCGCGTCCCGCCGTCTCAGGGAGGAGAAATCGGCGGAGCTGCAGCTGAGAAAAGATTGAGTGTGTGTGTGTGACCAATCCGCGGACTTAACGTAACGGCTCCACGGATTGGTCCATTTGGGTATGGGCACGTCACTGTACCCAGGAAGAAAAAGAGAAACCTCCAACGAGGCGTTCTGGGGCAGCATAGACAGGTCTTCTCTGTGTTAGAGTTTTACTCGCTACAGGGTGTACTTTGAGGGGTTGTGACTCTGCAGACCGTTCACATGCAGAAAAACCTTCATAACACAAGGGGACGGGTAATAACCGGAGAAGCATGACATGGCATTTAAACAATGACAATGTTTTATTTGTTGTAATTCCGTCTAATCCAACAATTAATATATCCACAAGTAGCAATAAGCTTGACTCCAACAAAAATACGTCTCAGGTAAGTTTGGTTGATTCTGTTCTCTCTCTAATTACCAGCAGCTGCAGTCGGCTATGACGTCAATTTTACAACGGCTGGTTGAAATAAATGATGTGATAATACTAATAACAAAGAATTACAATGTTCAAATAAATATATATATATATACACACATAATATATCAAATGATACATTTTAACATATGGCTCCTACGTTTGTAAAATGCACAATGTGCTCAGGAGTACCAGGCTCCTCCAGCAACGCATCATACACTATACTTAACATACAAGTCAGATGTAAAATAGTGCAAAAGAACTGGTACAGGAAGAAGAAACATATGCACGTACACAGGATGAGATTAAAGTGTGTGTGTGTGTGTGTGTGTGTGTGTGTGTGTGTGTGTGTGTGTGTGTGTGTGTGTGTGTGTGTGTGTGTGTGTGTGTGGTGTGTGTGTGTGTGTGTGTGTGTGTGTGTGTGTGTGTGTGTGTGTGTGTGTGTGTGTGTGTGTGTGTGTGTGTGTGTGTGTGTGTGTGTGTGTGTGTGTGTGTGTGTGTGTGTGTGTGTGTGTGTGTGTGTGTGTGTGTGTGTGTGTGTGTGTGTGTGTGTGCAGTTTTAAGGACTCTGATGGGACATAAGTCCAACATCACAAGTCTGGGTTTCCATCCCTTCGGAGACTTCCTCGCCTCCAGCTCCACCGACACAAACATCAAGGTACCAACGTGTGTCTGTGTATCTGTGTGTGTATCTGTGTGTGTGTCTGTGTATCTGTGTATCTGTGTGTGTGTCTGTGTGTCTGTCTGTGTATCTGTGTGTGTGTCTGTGTATCTGTGTGTGTGTCTGTGTATCTGTGTGTCTGTCTGTGTATCTGTGTGTCTGTCTGTGTATCTGTGTGTGTGTCTGTGTATCTGTGTGTCTGTCTGTGTATCTGTGTGTCTGTCTGTGTATCTGTGTGTCTGTCTGTGTATCTGTGTGTCTGTCTGTGTATCTGTGTGTGTGTCTGTGTGTGTGTGTGTCCAACTTCCTAAAGACCAAAAAGGTTTCAGACCATTGTAGTGACACAGGAGGTCTTTATTACCTGTATACAGTTTATAGGTTTTAATATGCATGTATTAATGTATTAATATATTCATGAATTTATTTGTGCAAATGAAGGGCTATGTTTCAAAGTGTGTGAGGTGGTGTTTGTTTTTATAATCTGCATTAATAAAATCTCTCTTGTTATCTGACCGTGATCAGCTGTGGGACGTTCGGAGGAAAGGATATGTGTTCAGATACAAGGTAAGACGTGTGTGTGTGTGTGTGTGTAGTGTTTTTATTTGTCAGACAGTTCATAGATCTTTGATCTTCACGGTCATCCGTATATTTTTCTTACTCTGTAATGTTGGTTTATTTCTATTTCTATTTTAGAATTGTTTATTTCTACTCTTTTAATTTGTTATTATGTGCAATGCCTTGTTTTCATCTCATCCTCTCAGCTGAGTCTTTCAGAATAAAAGCTTCTCTGTGTTTCAGGGTCACACTCAGGCGGTGAGGAGTCTGGCCTTCAGTCCTGATGGGAAGTGGTTAGCTTCAGCCAGCGACGACTGCACCATCAAGGTAACAACAACAACAACAACAACAAAGATTTTAATCATAACCTGAGGATCAAAACATTTAAGTACTAAAATACTAATAATATAAATAAAACATGGTATTTATAAAACGCTTACTGGTGCTCAACGATGCTTTGATTATCTCCTGATTCAAACCAAAATATTACGTATTAATCCGCCGCTGAAAGTAGTCCCTCTCTGTGTTGCCCCTCTCAGCTGTGGGACCTGACGCAGGGGAAGACCATCACGGAGTTTAAGTCTCACAGCGCCGCCGTCAACATCGTTCAGTTTCACCCCAACGAGTACCTGCTGGCCTCAGGCAGCTCCGACAGGTACACACACACACACACACACACACACACACACCACACACACACACACACACACACACTTACACACTCACTCACACACTCACTCACACACACACACACACTTACACACTCACTCACTCACACACTCACACACAGAGAGAGACACACAAACACACACCCCACAATATCCCAAATTCAAATAGCAAAATTACAAAAAGAAACACCTTGATATTCTCTCTCTCTCTCTCTCTCTCTCTCTCTCTCTCTCTCTCTCTCTCTCTCTCTCTCTCTCTCTCTCG